TGTGAACAAGGTCACACAAAGAATTCAAGGCAATTGGTTAATATCCGTAGTGGTATTTTTAATAACTTATTTTCTATTTGTATTATAAAGTAGCAATTCCATAGCTATAGTGAGTTTCCAGAGGAAGGAAAGATGTACTAAGGAGGCTTTTTATTATCTCAAGTCTCAGTTACCTGGTTCTAGAAGATCAGAAGAAAATACTTGGTGCCTGATCATTTCAAAAGAGAGAAAATTAAATATCTATTATGTACCTCCTGATTTTTTAATTCTTTTTGGCCTTGAGTTCTAGGATAATGCTGAAGTTAGGGGTGATCATATCTGACATGCTCATGTTTATATACATATTCTATATGATCATACTTGACAACTCTGTGTCAGGGAGTGGTTGGGTCATGCTCCTTCCAAGACCGTGTACACGTGCTCCAGGATCAACGCAGTGAGCGCGTCGTGCGGTGAGGAGGGGATGGTGCTGCGGGGTCAGATGCGGGCGCTGCGGGGTCAGATGCGGGCGCCTCGGGGCGAACCCCGAGCTCTGCAAACCCAGCCCGCCTGGGGGCGGCGGGACCTGGGACACCGGCGTCTCCTTACGAAGGATCTCGTTTTGTGCGGACGTACCTAGGATTGAGCTAGAGGCGAGTGTTTGCGTGCAGAACCCCCGGCGCTGCGCGGGGTGTCCCGGGCGGGGCGGAGCTGACCTGACCTCGGCAGCACCGCGGGCTGCCAGCCCTGCTCAGCCTGCGCTGAGTAAGAGGTGGGAACGGTTCCCATGGGAAGTCGCAGCCCGAAGAGATCTGCGTGGTATCCAGCGGAAGATGCTCTCGGGCTGCCCGGGGGGCTGGGGCTGCTTCACCCCGGCCGTGTGTGTAACCACCAGTGTCCTCTCAGCTAGGAGACATCAGTGCTCTGTGAAAGGTTGGGATGTGTTTCCACGTGGGGATGGAGCCCACCTTAAATTAGTTACCCTATAGCAATGGGGTTTTACTTCACCACCAGAAAAGTGTGGCCTGTTTTTTTGGTATTCCTGAATAAGTTTTGGTATGTGTTTGTTGTCCATGGCACCATTCATTGTTATGAGACTCTTAATCAGGTATTGAGACTTTGTTAATGTTCACAGATGTCCTCAGCAGAAGGAAATAGTTTTTCATCCTCCATTAATTGGAGTTCTTCAACCTTCTTTACCCAAGTGAGTGCCATCCACCATTATGGGTAATGATAAAGAAAAAAATACAATGAAACTACAAGGGCTGACCTGCTGTATCACATCAGTTGTTGACTAAAGTCAACAACTAAGGTTCTCCATATGTCAATACTCTGCATTCACATCTGAATTATTCTAAGCCCCTTACAGTAGAGGTTTGGCCAAGGCTTCCACAGCTCTTAAAACTAAGTTCTGTGGGACACATATGGGCCATTGAAAGGACTTAACAATCAGCTGTCTCCCTGGGCTGTGTGTAAGGTACAGGCAGTCTACCTGCAAGCAAAATAATACTTCAGTATTATTTGGATCAGTGAAATCAAGGCCATGGTAGCTGTTGTAAATCTTCAAGGTTAATGTTGGTATTTGTTCAACTTGGTGGGAAGAGTTGCCACCTATACCATAGGTATCTATTGCTTCTCTCTGAGTCAGAAAAGTAGAGCTTTGCTTGATCCTGATGATGTGATCTGTGTTTTAAGTGTTCTGGCCAAGCACGGATCACAGCCTGTCTTTTTTTTTTTTATCTTATGTTCAATGTTACCAAATGTTTGCTATTGACTTGATAATTTTGCAGCTTGGAGGAAAGAACAAAAAATTGAGCTGCTTATTTTTTGTTTTGTTTGTTGGTTTTGAAAGGATGAGGCTGCAAGACTGACTTCAGAAGTGGCTAGAGCTGTTTTTGTGGCTTCTGTATTTAATTTAACTTGTATTTACCAAAATTCTGGGGTTTTTAGGCGTAAAGTGCAACTTATTGAACCTATCTGTCTTGAAAAAATGGTAAGTATGCATTCTCAATAAATCTTTATATGGAATTGACAAAAGAAATTAAAAATTCAAGCTTTAAAACACTTGATAGCCTTGTGGAAAGCCTCAGGGTTATGTTCTCTTTTTAGTTTCTGTATGGGAAAAGGAAAAACAGTGTAAATGAGTCCTCGTCCTACATTTCAGCTTCCAAGGTAGCAGACCTTAGAGGGAGACTGTAACTTGGAAACACTTGTATTTTTCTGATATCTGACCTTGAAGCCGTGAAAGTGGTTGGTGGCAGCTTTGAAGAGGAGTTGGGTGGAGTCAGGTTTAGTAACAAGGACAAAATACTAGTATGGCAGATCTTCCAAAAGTAGGAAGAGAGTGGGAATGGTTGCAATTTGTTAAAGTTTGCCTTCTGCTACTGTTGCTAAACAACTTCAGAGCTGCACCTAAAAATACCTATTTAAGTAGAATTGCAGGTAAGCAAGTTGTTTTGTACTGAGGCTATAAATAGACTGCAGTGCAGTGAATTTCAATGTACCATTTTATGGTAAAGAGACTAAACGCCAGAGTCCTAAGCATTCTTTTTTGCTGCTTTGTGTTCCTGCTGTCAGCAGTGGTACCATCACTCCTTCTGCCAAGTCCTTGATAAAATTTTAAATCTGACCTTGTGATTTCCATTTGGGGTCTTGTAAACAATGGTAGCTTTCATGCTACGTGTAGGAAGTGCTTCCTGGAAGTACAAGATGATAGACTATGGGAGAGAAAAATACACAGTTTAAAGATGAGCACTCTGTCTTGGCATCATACTTGAGCTTTTTAGCTGCTTCTTTTTCTACCAAGTTGTGTGGGAATTTTTTTTTTTTCTTTTTTTCCCCAAGGCTTAGACTAAATAGCAGAAATTATGAGAGAAAAGTTGAAGAACTGTTAGGGGTTTCTGCATCAGCTTTCCCCAGAAGTCCTTTTGTTGTTGATTCTGTCCTTAGTCTTGTTTAGGGTAGTTGAGTTTAATCTCCTGAATGTGTGTTTGTGCCTGCATGGCATTGCATTAGTTCCACTCTGTGGCAGGGGAAACACTACAGATCTCGTCACAAAGTCTTAACTTGATGAGCTGCATTTATTTTTCCATTCATGTAGCATACTTTGTTTAAAAATTTATTTTTAAGACTTATTTTTTAATCTTCATAAGATTAAATGTGGCAGCATTTTATTTGAATTCTCCTACATTCTATTTGAATTTCAGAGATTTCCCCCTTTATTTATGTGCTTTGATTTTCAAGATTATTATAATGAAAGAGATGTTTATTGTACTGTGGTGTGTTCTGTGTAAGTTGACCAGTGCTTACCCACTCATGAATTGTGACACAGATGCTACATGATTAACTGGAGAGAACTTGTAGTTCATGGCTGTGAATACAGTGGTGGATGTCTGGATTATAGAATGCTAGATGTCCTTTTCAAAATGTTAATGTATTATCCTTTCATCCATTACCTGTTTTTTATTTGGTTTCATAGCCCAGTTTCATTATTGGTGGTTTTTTTGTTTGTCTTTTCTGTTTTAGGCCATAAACTTCTGATTAGATCAAATTTTCTGTAAGGTAGATACCAAAAAAGCTCTCTTTAAAACATAAGTAAATATGCAGAATTTAAGCCACTGAAATGAAAGTATCATGGAAACACTGAGTACTTTTGCCTAATACTGCCATGGTTATAGATGCAATTCTGTGTTGCAGTTATACTAGCAATTTAAAGAAATGATGCCTCCTGTTTTATAAACATCAGGTAGATGCAGAAGGAACATGAGCTGCAGCCCCAGACAGTGTGGGTTACATAGCTCCCTAGTCATCTCCTTCTCCTAGGGGAAGGTTGGCAGGCTCTGTGGGGTGTGCAGAACCTGCAGGCCCAGGATGCTGAACCTGATGGCTAGATTGTAGCATTGGAGAAAGATTTAAGGGATTTTGTAAGGAATTTTAAGCACTCCAGAAGGACTCTTGAACTGAAAGAGGAATTAAAATAAGCAAATAAGTCTTCTCCTTATTAATATTTTGATTAAAACCAGTGAAGTAACACAGTTCTGTGAAGAAGTTAAGCCTGTGTGTAAGCATAAGGGATTGACTTGGACTAGTCCCCCATGAAGCCCCTGATGATCAATCAACATTAGTAACAGAAACAACAGGCTTGCTTAGTGAGTGGCTTGATAGCAGGAGGCTTGTATGAATAAGGAGTTAAGTTGGTGACTAAGTTGTTCTACTGATTTTGTATTTGATCATGCTGAGAAAGGTATCTGAAAATCTTGCATTTTTCTGTCAGTTAATTAAGTCTGACGTTGTCATAAATTGAACTGGTATTGGAATGAAGACACACCTTTAGGTCTCAGGGGCTGTGTTGGTTGCCCTTTCCTGTCTCTCCACTGTGAGTAGTTGGTGTTCCTGTGTGTTTGGGCATTGCCCCTGAAAATGACTGATTTCTGTCTACAGTCTTCACTCTAAATGTCCTTTTTTCTTCAACTTTGGTATGAGCTCCACACATAAGGAACACGAGGAAGGATTTGATAAAAGGTCTGAATTTCAAGTAGATTCAGTTAATCCCTTCAAAATGCAATTAAAGTTAATTTGCTTTGACTTTCCCCAAGAAGTCCACACCACCAAGTGTAAATGTTCACAGACTTAAAACTGATAACGTGTTGTTTGTGGCTTAGGAAACCAGAAACAACAGGCTTGCGTAGTGAGTGGCTTGATAGCAGGAGGCTTGTATGAATAAGGAGTTAAGTTGGTGACTAAGTTGTTCTACTGATTTTGTATTTGATCATGCTGAGAAAGGTATCTGAAAATCTTGCATTTTTCTGTCAGTTAATTAAGTCTGACGTTGTCATAAATTGAATAGGTGTGATTATTTTTGAATTTTTTTTTTCCTCTGAAGTGCTATTAAACAATTACTTTGTTAAATACATGTTTTTTTGTCCTTTTCTTACAGCTCTGATTATTAACAGGATAATAACACTCTGAAACATAATGTGGATTACTTTTTGCCTGAAGAGGTGAAATATTTTCAGATAGAAATGGCTGATAAAGGTGGGAAAATCCTCCCAGGACAATTGTACATTGAAGTGGAGTATGACTATGAATATGAGGCCAAGGACAAGAAAATTGTGATTAAGCAAGGAGAGAAATACATATTGGTGAAAAAGACTAATGATGATTGGTGGCAAGTCAAAAGAGATGAAAATTCCAAACCTTTTTATGTGCCAGCACAGTATGTGAAGGAGATACCACGAAAAGCACTGATGCCACCTGTTAAGCAGGCAAGCATACTGCCAAACAACGCTTTGAAGTTGACACATGGATTACAGAGATCAACAGAAAATGTGAATAAGTCACCAGAGCTTTCTAGTTTTGGAAAATCTTCTCCAGTCCAAGTGTCTTGCTTAGTTCGAGATGCCAATCAAAATGTGGGACTGAACAATAGCCCCAGTCAAACTCTTGGTTTGAATCTGGACCTAACCCAAAACAATGGAAAACTTAACAATGAGTTGCAATCTCCCAAGGTTTCCAATCAGTATAGAACCATCTCCATGGGTCATTTCCCATGCCCAGAGTTCTTGGAAATAGAGAAGACCAGCTTTTTGCATGAACAATCTTGTGATTCAGCAGG